TCTCTCCCTCTCTTTCTCTCTCCCTTCCCTCCTCTCTAAAAATAAGTATTTAAAATTTTTTTTAAATGGTGTAGGAAGAACTTGAATACTAAATATTAATGAAATTTAAATAGTAGGCAAGGACATTGTTTTCCCCCAAATCCAGGCCCAGATGGGTTTATAGGTATATTTTGCCAGACTCTCAAGGAACAGTTACTTTTCTTCTTACAAAAGTTATTGCAGAAAATGGAAAAGGGGGAAAAGCTGTCTAGCATATTAGTCTAGTATAATCTTGAAATCTTGACTCTAAAATCAGATGAGTCAATGAAAGACAATGAAAGAAAAAAAATTATATAGACTTATTTCACTTACTAATATAGACACACAAATCTCAAATGAAATATTAGTTAATCAAATCTAACAGTATGTTAAAAATATATCACGATCAAATGAAGTTTATTCCAAGAATGCAAGGATAATTTGTTCAGCCTCAGAAGAATCTATCAATGTAATTTACCTTAATAGACTAAAGGAGAATAATCATATGATTATTTCTTTTTCTTTTTTTTTTATTGATGTGTGAGAGAAACATTTTCTTTTTTTTTTCTTAAAGATTATATTTATTTATTTTTAGAGAGGGAAGGGAGAGAGAAAGAGAGAGAGAGAGAAACATCAATGTGCGGTTGCTGGGGGTCATGGCCTGCAACCCAGGCATATGCCCTGACTGGGAATTGAACCTGTGACACTTTGGTTCACAGCCCGCGCTCAATCCACTGAGCTACACCAGCCAGGGCTGATTATTTCAATTAATGTAGGAAAAGTACATTACATGCCTACTTATGATAAAAGCTCTTAGTGAACTAGGAATAGAGGGCAAATTTCTTAACTTGGTGAAGTTTACATAGCCAAACTTTACAGCATATTTTATACTAAATAAGAAAACTTAAGAAAATCTCCTTGAAGACTGAGAATGAAACTACATATTTACTCTCACCAACCACTGTTTAACATTGAACTGAAAGTCTTGGTCAATACTATAAAGAGGGAAAAAGAAATGAGAGGTATAAGGATTAAAAGAGAAGAGGAAAAACCAACAGATTGAACAGAGACTATTAGAATTAAAGAGTTCAGCAAGGTTGCCAGGTACAAAATCAACTTATAAGAATCAACAGCACAGAGGGGAAAGAGGAGGGAATTTCAGGAGAAAGGGGGAAGGGTTTATAGGAACAAGTATAAAGGACACATGGACAAAAACTAGGGGGGAGTGGAAATGGGAGGGAGGTGGGGAGGGCTGGGGTGGGCTGGGATGGGAGTAAAAGACAGAAAACTGTACTTGAACAACAATTAAAATAAATTTTTTTTAAAAAAGAGCCACCATATAGAAAAAACTAAATGAACTATTTGGCCAACCCAATATAGAGGAGAAATAAATGTAAAGTAATTTATAACACAATAAAAAAGAATCAACAGCATTTCTTCTTTTTTAAAATTTTATTGAGAGAGAGAGAGAGAGAGAGAGAGAGAGAGAGAGAGAGAGAGAGAGAGAGAGAGAGATACTGAGATTGAATTGTTGCTCCACTTATTTTATGCATTCATTGGTTGATTCTTGTATGTGCCCTGACTGGGGACTGAACCCGCAACCTTGGTGTATCGTGATGGTGTTCTAACCAAGTGAGCAACCTGGCTAGTACATCAACCATATTTCTTTACATTAGCAATAAACAACTAGAAAAAAAAGTAATAAAAATAAGATACCTAAAATTAATCACTAGACCAAAATAAAAACTTTTCTTTAGAAATGTTACGATAACTAAAAACAAACAGAACATATTGCATGGTAAAATGCTTTTAATATATAAACATATAACTAAAAAAGAAAAATACTTAAAATAATATGACTGTATTAACACCAAAACATCTTTTGTATCAGTAAGTATAAATAAAGAAAAACATTTTCCACTGGATCACTGAGCAAAATCCAACTGCTGTATTCAAGAGAGTCAACTAAAACAAATCTATTCAGAAATGTTAAAAATATAAGAAAGGGCAAAGGTATACTAGTCAAATGCCAATAAATAAAGCAGGGGCAGGGGTTGCAGTCTTAATGATCAGACAAGTTGAAACCTCAGAATGAAAGGCATTAGTTAACTGTCAAGGTCCTTATAAACAAGGAAAGACTAAGGAACTGTCACAGATTGGAGTAAATATGATGACTAAATGCAACATAGGATCCTAGGTTGGAGCTTGAAACAGAAAAAAGTAAGCTAAAATCTGAATAAAGTTTGGTGTTTAGTTAATAGCAATGTACCAATGTTAATCTGTTAGGTTTTTTCAAAAAAATTTTACTTATTTATTTTTAGAGAGAGAGGAAGGGAGGGAGAAAGAGAGGGAAACATCAATGTGTGGTTGCCTCTGGCACACCCACCACTGGGGACCTGGCCTGCAACCCAGGCATGTGCCCTGACTGGGAATTGAACCAGTGACCCTTTGGTTCGCAGGCCCGATTCCCAGCCAGGGTACGTGCCTGGGTTGCAGGCCATAACCCCCAGCAACTGCACATTGATGTCTCTCTCTCTCTCTCTCTCTCTCTCTCTCTCCCTCCCTTCCCTCTCTAAAAATAAATAAATAAAATCTTAAAAAAAAAAGAAAATGAAGTTACATTTACATGATGGACAACTAGGTGACGGGTATCTTTGCAACTGTTCTGTAAATCTAAAATTATTCTGCCCTGGCTGGCGTAGCTCAGTGGATTGAGCTTGGGCTGCGAACCAGGCATCACAGGTTCGATTCCCAGTCAGGGCACATGCCTAGGTTGCAGGCCATGACCCCCAGCAACTGCACATTAATGCTTCTCTCTCTCTCTCTCTCTCTCTCCCCCCTCCCCTTCCCTGTCTAAAAATAAATAAAATTATTCTAAAATAAAAAGATTAAAAAAGCATTAATTGAGGCAAAAAGGGCATGATTCACACAGTTATGCCTTTTTTTGTACCAAATAACAGCAGTCTTACAAAGCTGAAATGTTAAAAGGTATAAGGAGAAATAGAGAATGGATTGAAACACACTAAAAACAGGAGAAACTTAACTCATCTTTCTCATTCCAGGACAGGTCAAATCAATAACAACAAGAACAAACCAATGAAAATGTAGAAAACCTAAACAACAAAATCAATATTAAGAAGTAAATCTCAATAAATTTCAAAAGTGGAACTAATACAATATTTTCTGATGACAAGTGGATAAAACTAGAAATCAATGTAAAATGGATCTTCCATCTGAATATGTTCAAAACTCTATCAAACAACTCTTGGGTCAAAAGGGAAATTCAAACCAAAGTTGCTGAATTTCTAGACAATAATGATGATAATTAATAATTAATAATTAATAATAATAATTTCTAGACATGACATATCAGAATCTGTGGATACAGATAAAGTAGTGGTCAAAGGAACGTCCACAGCCTTAAAATACTTACATTAAAATTAGGGGAAAAGAAAAAGCAAGCATCTGACTCAAAAAGTTAGAAAAAGAAAAACAAAATAAATTTAAGGGGAATAGAAGGAAAGAATTAACAAAGAGAAAAGTTCAAATAAAGGAGTTAGAAAACATAACAGCAGAACTAATAGATGAGCCAATTCTGTGAAAAAGAAATACATAAGCCATTAAATACCATAATCAAGAAAAGGAGAAAGCACAACTATACAAATTCAGAAATGAAAAGTTGGACACAGCCATAGTACAAGGACATTTTAAACAGCATAAAATACTTCCTCATACAATGCCATACAAATTGTTTTAAAGACCTAAAAGAAATGGAAAACATCCTAGGAAAATACACCAAAAGCAAATCTTTTTAAAAATCTTTATTTATTTAAAAACTCCTCACACAAGGTTATGTTTATTGATTTTAGAGAGAGAGGGAGGGAGGGAGGGAGGGAGGGAGAGAGGGAGGGAGGGAGGGAGGGAGAGAGAAAGAGGGCGAGAGAGAACATTGTGTTGTTGTACTTATTTATGCATCCATTGGTTGATTCTTGTATGTGCCTTGCCTGGGAAGGGGATCAAACCCACAACCTTGGTGTATCCAGATGATGCTCTAACCAACTGGGCAACCTGGCCAGAGCCAAAAATGATTATAAAAGAGAGAAGTTCATATAGACCAAGTTCCAAGGAAGAAATAGAGATAGTTGTAAAGAGTTACCTTCCCCCAAAAGTACCAGACCATGATGCTCTTACAAGAGAGGTCTATTAATGCTGAAAAGCAGATAATATGAATGGTACTTTTATTTTCCTAAGCCCAGATAAAGAAGGAATACTTTCTAATTCTTTTTATGAAATAAGTATAACATTGATACCAAAATCTGACAAAGATTCCACAAGAAAAAGAAAACGATAGAGCAATCTTCACTTATGAGTATTAATACAAAATCCTCCATAAAATATTAGCAAACAAAATCCATGACTCTGTGGGGTTAATTCCAAGAATGCAAGAAGTATTCCATAGTGAAACTAATATATCACTCTGGCTGGTGTGGCTCAGTGCATTGAGTGCAGGACTGCAAACAAAAGGGTCACTGGTTCAATTCCCAGTCAGGCCTGGGTTGCAGGCCACGTCCCCAGTAGAGAGTGTTCAAGAGGCAACCACATACCAATGTTTCTCTCCCTATCTCCCTCCCTCTCCCCCTCTCTGTAAATACAAATAAATAAAATAAAAAAGAAACTAATATAAAATACTATTTAATGTCAACTGTAATTGAAAAATAAATAAGTAACCCTCCCCCAAAGAATCATTCAATATTAGGAAATTCATTAATAATGTCTAACATTTTAAATTTAAGGAGAAAAATCTTATTTTCAGAGATGCAAAAGAATCATTTGACAAAATTCAACACCCATTCTTTATTTAAAAATGTGCAATTGCCCTGACTGGTGTGGGTCAGTTGGTTGGGCATTGAATTGCAGGGCACAAAGTTGCCAGTTTGATTCCTGGTCAGGACACATGCCTGAGTTGCAGGTTTGGTGCTGGTCTGGATGCATACAAGAGGCAGCTAATCCACATTTCTGTCCTTCTTTCTCTCTTCCTTCCCCACTCTCTAAAAATTAAATAAATAAATAAATCTTTGAAACATTCAATAAAAGAGGAACATATGGTTTTCCCTTGATATAATTACGTCTGTGCGTGCATGTTTTTATGTGTCCCCAAATCCAGCTATCCATCATTTCACTTAACCAGGAAACACTAGCAGCATTCATATACTAAAATCAGACACCAGGTATGAGTATATACCCTTTCCACTACAGTTTAATATTCCTATTGGAGGCAGTAAGCATTGTAATTAGAAAAGACAAAGAAATTAGGAAGTATACCATTGGAATGAATGAGGTAAAGCTAGCATTATTCATAGATAAGATTTTATAGCCAGAAAACCCAAGCAAACTAATTGAAGAATTGCTATAAACAAGATAATTCAGTAAGGAAGAAAGATATAAAATTAATATATAGAACTCACGGAAGAGAATTTATTAGAGCAACAAATAAGATAAATACTATCTTAGACCATTGGGGCTGCTGTAACAGAAAACCACAGACCGAGTGGTTTATAAACAACAGATATTTATTTCTCCCAGTTCTAGAGGCTGGGAAGTCCAAGATCAAGGCATGGGCAGATTCAAATGTCTGCTGAGAGCCCGCTTTCTGATTCACAGACTGCCTTCTTCTACCTGTATCCTCACATGGTGGAAGGGGCAACAGAGCTCTCGGGGCATCTTTTCTAAGGGCACTAATCCCATTAATGAGGGCTCCACCCTCATGATCTAATCACCTCACAAAGGTCCCACCTCCTATTACCATCACATTGGGGATTAGGTTTCCAAATATAAATTTTGGGGGTATACAAACATTCAGTGTATAGCAGATACTTAGAAATGTCCAAAATCTTTTTAAAAAATATTTTATTTATTTATTTTTAGAGGGAAATGGAGGGAGACAGAGAAGGAGAGAAACATCAATGTGTGGTTACCTCTTGAGTGCCCCCTACCGGAGACCTGGCCTGCAACCCAGGCATGTGCCCTGACTGGGAATTGAACCAGTGACCCTTTGGTTTGCAGGCCAGCACTCAATCCACTGAGCCACATCAGCCAGTGCAAAATGTCCAAAATCTTTATGAGAAAACATTTATAAAACTCTGGAGGAACAAATGGAAAGACATCTCAATTCTTAAATAGGAAGACTCAAAGTTATGAAGATATCAAAATAATTTATAAGTTTAATATAAGCTTATTAAAATGTAATTTTCCCTTGAAACTAGACAAGCTGAATTCAATTTTGACTGGAAAAATAGCAAGCAAGCACAGCCAGGATATCTCTGAAAAGGAAGAACAGTGATGGAGGACTATTGCCACAATATGCTGTGTAAAAAACCAAAATGAACATTTATGTACCAAAACTTAAAAGAGTCTATGGGTCACTTGGGAGGTTCTACAATCTGGATCTGGCTCTGTTGATCTCAAGTGGGCTATATCCTGAGTTGGTATATCCTTGAGTGCTGGAGATTGGATGCTATAGGACGCCTTGGCTGGGAGGACCAGGCTCATTCGTACATGTGTCTCACATCCCTCCAGCAGGCTAGCCTGCATATGTTCTCATAGCAGTAGCAGGGGTCCAAGAGAGGAAGCAGAATATGTAAGAGCTTTTTCAAGTCTCTGCGTATATCAAGTTTGATATTATCTTGTTTGTTAAAGCAAGTTATATGGTCAAACTCAGAGTTAGTATGGGAGGGAAATACCAAAGGGTGTGGATACAGAGACACATGACAAATTGGAGTCATTAATGCAATGCATTGCAAAACTATCTCCTCAAAATCTAGAATTCATAAAAGAAAACAGATAATTTTTTACATAAAAATAAAATTTGCTTGGAAAAATTCATTAGCAAAGAAAAAGAATGACAAACTGGGAGAAAATACTGACAAGTGATATCATTCATAGTTTAACATTCATATTGCAGGTAGTAAACATTGTAACTATATAACAAGATTCTAGAAATCAAAGAAAGGCCAATGATCCGACAGAAAAATGGAAGAAGTCTTCAATAATACACTTTGTTGGTGAGGCTGGGGTGAAACAAATAACTTCATACATGGGTGGTGAGTGCAAAATGGTACACCAATGGTGGGAAATTTTTGGCAATATCCACCAAAGGTACAAATGTAATTGTTGGAAGTTATCCTACAGAAATATGTCTGTATGAAATGTCTAATGCACCCAAGAATTCATCAATAGGGGACTGCAGTCATTAAATAAAATATTGTACATCCACATAATGTAACATTTTGAGGAGGTACTCCACCCACTTTCATACAATTACTTTCTTTTTTTTTAAAGGAAAGAAGACGTTTGTTTGTTTTTTTAAGATTTATTTATTTTTAGAGAGGGGAAGGGAGGGAGAAAGAGAGAGAGAGAAACATTAATGTGTGGTTGCCTCTCACATGGACCACAACCCAGGCATGTGCCCTGACTGGGAATCGAACCTGCGATGCTTTGGTTCACAGCCCGAGCTCAATCCACTGAGCTATGCCAGCCAGGGCTCATACAATTACTTTCTATATGTACTGGAAGCTCTCTAATGCTCTGATATGGAAAGATCTCCAAGAAGTATTATTAAGTGAAAAAAAGCAACATGTATAACAGTAATGTGTAGTATCTCACCATTTGTGTAAAAACATGAGGGAAGTAAGAATGGGAAGTAAGAGTTGAAAGTGAATTTAAAAAATAGAAAAAACCTCCCTAAACTAATAGCTATTCATCGAATATGTGAACACACAGAAGCCCTGGCTGGTGTTGCTCAATGGATTGAGTGCTGACCTGTGAACCAAATGGTTGCCGGTTTAATTCGCAGTCGGGGCACATGCCTGGGTTGGGAGCCAGGTCCCTGGTGGGGGACGCAAGAGAGGCAACCACACGTTGATGTTTCTCTACCTCTCTTTCTCTGTCCCTTCTCCTCTCTCTAAAAATGGGTAAATAAAATATTAAAAAAATGAAAACAATGCTAAATTCACTGATATTCTCATTTTCTCTGTCAATAGTTCTCAAAATGTGGCACCTGGACTAGCATCAGCAGCTTCATCACCATTACCATCACCTGGGAACATGTTAGAAATGCAAATTCTTGGGCCCTATTCCAGACTTACTGAAACACACCTCTGGGCGTGGAGCCCAGCAACTGATATTAAAAAAAAATTTTTATCCTTATCTGAGGATATTTTAGCATTGCTTTTAGAGAGAAACACCAATGCAAGAGAGAAGCAGCAATCAGCTGCCTCCCATGGGTGCCTGGTCCTGGGATCATGTGCTCCCAAATGGGGAATCAAATCTGCAACCTTTCGGTTGCAGGATGACTCTCCAATGGAGCCACACCAGAAAGGGCAAGCAATTTTTTTTTTAACAAGCCCTTCCAGTGATTCTGCTGTTGACCAAAGTTTGAGAATCAGTTATTTAGATTTAGCCACTATTAACTTCATTGTAGATTCTTGTAGTCTTCCTAAAAAAATTATGAAATCTTTTAGGCATGCAAGTAAGTATAGAGAATATAACACACACCTGTGTACCTACTACCTAGATAAACTATTAGACAAGTAGTTAAAGTCCCCTCTGTGTCTCTCTCTCATTCTGTCCCTTTGTTGCCTTCCCCAGAGGTCATCACTGTTCTGCATTTGGTATTTATTGATACTTCGTTTTAAAAAGATTGTTTATATATTATATAATTTATAAACAACATAGTACATTGTTTTCTAGATTTTAAAAAATCTGTATGAGTAAATGGTTTAATATTTCATGTAGCCCTACCTGGTGTGGCTCAGTGTATTGAGCACCAGCCTGTGAACCAAAGGGTCACCGGATCGATTCCCAGTTGGGGCACATGCCTGGGTTGTGAGCCAGGTCAGGCCCCTGGTAGGGGGCACATCAGAGACAACCACACATTGATGTTTCTCTCCCTCTTTCTCCTTCTCTTCCCCTCTCTCTAATACTTCATGTATCCTTTTACAACGTGTATTTTATCTCAGCATTGATTTTAAAATTTACCTGTATTGATACATGCAACTGTCTTATTTTTTTCACTGCTGCATATTATTCTGGTGTGGGGCTATACCACTATTTATTTATTAATTCTCCCATTGGTGAACTTTTAGATTGCTCATATTTTTTTTCTCTTATTACAAACAATTCTGCAATGAATATTCTTGCACATGCCTCTTTGTGCATATGTATAAGAATTTCTCTAGGACTTAAAAGTCTAGAGGATGGATATACACACATACATACATATATAAATCTATGACAGTAGAATTGCTGGGTCCTAGGGCTATCTTCAACTATTCTGGATACTTTCTAATTGTTTTCCAAAGTAATAAAACCAATTTTCACTTCCATGAAAAATTTCATTACAATTTTTTTCTTATAGTTTGTGCATTTGAAACTTTGTTTAAAAATCCATACCTGTCCTGGGTTACAAAAATATTCTCAGCTCTCTTATATGAAAATAAGTAGCGATCCAGTTTTATTTTTCTCCTTATGGTGAGCCAAATTTCCCAATGCTATTCACCAAAATATCCCCTTTCCTATTGCTTTGTGGTGTAGGCCTATAATTTCACCCATTTAACAAACATTTGCTTAAGTCTTGCCTCGTACCAGTCTTGTGCTGGGTCTTGAGGGTTCGAGGATATATAGTCCTTAGTCTTAAGGGTTTCACTCTCCTGTGGAGATTCAGCTATGTAAATGGTTCCAGTATTAAGTGATTAAGTGCAACAAAGTGACTTGGGTTTCTAAGTCCATTGGGAAAATTCTTCGTAGTGACAAGAGTAAGGTATTAAAGAAACACGTTTGCTAACCCCGGGGGTAAAGGTGAAGGTGACCAGGGCTGGCTTGGGGTTCATAGGAGTTTTGTGTGTTGTCTATGGTGAAAGATCAGAAGCCTTCTATCGATGTTGAGGCAGTGAGTCCTGTGTAAGTAAGGCGTATAACTAGGCAGAAGGTGTCATTTTCTGCCTGGATTTGGTGGTGGTGGGGGCACAAACCTTGGTGTTAGAGGGGCTCGGCCCCACCCCAAAGTTTAGGCTAGAGTAAAAGGAGGAGCTGCAGTTAAATAGTCAGAAAAACATTTTCAACCTTGTATTTATGGTTTTTAGGGGGAGACCTCATACTACAGCCAGGTCAGGAACTCCTTCAGATAGTTGTTAGAAACCCTTACTTGCTCCCACTCCTGAGATACAAAATTCATTCCCTTCTGCAGGCACTCCTCCAGGTCCTAAGAGAAGGAGTGAGTAGGAGGGGGAGAGGGCAACCGGGTGGGAGAGGCTTCCAGGTGTTCAGCTCTTGGGCCTGGCCACGGACCTTAGATACTACAGAAAGAGCAGGAAGTGGATGCCTACAGGTTTGTCTGGGGTTCTGGAAGCCGGGAAGGTTACTGGGAACAGCTAACCTACTCACTTCAGGAATACTCGGCAAGACGTGTGACTCAGGCGGCCATTTTCTCACACCCTGCCCGTCGCCATCTTCCAATGTAGACAAAAGCACTGACCCCCATTCTTGTCTGATGCTGTCATGGTTGTCGCCTGGTGTTAAAATGTCGGCAACACGCGTATTTAGGCCTAAGCAGAGGACAGCAGAGAAGATTTTGGTTTACAATAGCTTATATGGTCACACCGGTCAAAACGCCGTTAACCCTTCTCGCATCCCCACTTCTCCCCTCGACTATTTCCTACCTTATGGACAAGTCGGGAAGGCGGGGCTATTGCGGCTGCGGGGAAGGGACAGGCAGGCGCGAGATGTCAATCCTAAGCTCCACCTCCAGTAGCGCAAGGCGGGCGGCGCTGCCCTGGGAGGCTGGGATCCGGAAGTCGGAACCCAGCGGCGCGAGTGCTTGCTTCCGGGCAAGAGTGTTGTGTCGCTGTTTTCTCCTCTCAGATCCCCGCCGGAAGTGGAGGTAAGAGATGACTCTTTTTTAGCGGTGAGCACTGAGGCTGCCGGCCGCACGGGGAGGGTCGCCTATTCAAGGTGAAACAAGAGGTGCACTCCACTCAGGAATAGAGAGGTAAAGAGCCAGCTCCCTTCCCGGTAAAGGGCCCAGATGAAGGGCAGGGATCGTTGCGCACGTGGACACGCGCCCAAGTGCACTCTTTCGGGGTAGAGGGGCATGGCCACACCCCATTTAGACAGCTGTAGACCCGGTACACCATGTAGAGTCTTAGACCCCCACTTGTGTGGAGAGGCGTCGAATGACCTCCTCCCTTCATGATAGTGAGGCTCCATTACGCACTCTCCGGGTGTAGACTTCCCCCGCCCTGTCCGAAGGTGTGGCGATGTCGACCCCACTCGTGTCTCTTCTCCAGGAGGCTGATAGGTGCAGACCTCTGCTGGCGCTAAGGCGCGCACAGATCCGCCTTGACGCGCCTCTACTCATAGCTTAGGACAAGAGGCTTTGATGTATTTTCCTCTGCACCCGCCCTTGGCCGACCACCAATATAGTAGAGCTCAGTAATTTAATATATAGAGGGAGGAAAAGGAACATCCTTCCCTTCGTGTGGAGACCTAGATACCTCTTAGCCTCACTCCTGTGTAATAGACAGAAGCCCCACCCCCGCTCCAGCAGAGACGGTTGATCACACCTCCCCAAGTGATTGGAGGCACAAGCCCTCAGCCTACCGAAAACTATTGAGATTTACTCCTCCTAGTCTAAGAGTATCCATTGTGGAAAGCCAAACCACCCCTTAAGGAGGTGCTGGTTTACTGAATTTGTAAGGGCTTGACCCCCAAAATGCCCCACAGCAAACTGCAATAGACCATAACCCACAAAGAGACTGTCAGATCTGCCTTGTGGGACTCCCAGGGTAGAGGGGTTTAGATTTGTTCTCCTGTTTTGAGGTAGACAGAGATCATCCCCTCGACAATGATTTTAGAATCATTAGATGTAGCAAAGAGGAGACTGCAAGGGAACAGAGAGCTTTCCCTCTCCCCAGTGTTGAGAGGCAATGACATCAGTGATCACCCACAGTTCGTGCATATGGGCTCCCCACTTACTCAGGTTAGGGGAGCTTAGTTCTCTTTCTTAACATCCAGGGTAAAAACACAGGACCCCTCCACGCCACCCTGCAAGTGCAAGAGCCAATCCATTGAATTTATAGCTAGGTTGCCCTACCCCTCAATGCAGAGAAGCAGAGGTCCTATTCCTTTCACTGTTAGTATAGTGCTGACTTCAACCCGTATAAAAGATAGATAGACCTTCCTCATCCCACCTCCCATGGAAGGGTCTAGAATAGCCCACAGCAGGCAAGGTGCAGACCTTACTCATGCAGAACTGTAATTCTCCCCTTTGTTAGTGTGGTACTAATGTTACCTTGTAGTAAAGACAGGCATATCAGTTCCACCTCACAGACCTCCTCAGGGTAAAGAGTCCTAGGACCATCATCTGTATAACTTAGGGAAGGACAGACCCACCATTTTCCCCTAGGCAGCAGAGATGCACACAACCACTGTACCAGTTTCCCCAGTTCCTCTGCACCCCTGAGTAGAGGGACAGAAAGCATTCTGTTGCTCCAGTCACCAAGAAACAGACCTCAACCCCACACGCAAGCACAGATTTTCTCCCCTCCCCCAAGATTTTGCGTTGATCTCAGTCCACATAGACACAGAAAAAAAAAAACCAAAACAAAATACCTTGTTCTCAGGTCCCTTTGCCAGGGATTTGTCTTTACCCCCTTTTAGGGTAGATCAGACACAAGCCCCTACTTAGGAAAAGAAGTACTGTTAATACCTAATGTAGAAATAGATTGTCCTTGCATACTCCCCTCAGTGTAGAGAAGTTCAGTGCTATTCTCTTACCTACAGGGTGGAGAATTGAGGACCAATGGCATTGTGGTACTGACTCCACCCAGGAAGTGAGGTTTAGACCTAGCCTCCCTTTGGGTAGTGTGACACTGCATTCCCTGTGTACCCCAGCTTCAGTGTAGCCCCCTCTCCCAGTCCCTGTAATTGTTAGGGATTCCTTACTATCATGTTATTTAACATTTTATTTTGCCTTTTGGGGACTTAGAGGATTGTGGCATTGTGGTTTCCCACTCCTGTCATTAAATTGGTTCTTCTTCCATTCTGACAGGAAGAAATCCTGCAGATTTGAGCCTATATCCTTTTAAGCTGGTCATCATGATGAAACTTAGACACAGTGAGTTTCTTTTACCACCCCCTCCCAATTCTAAGCTTTAATGAATATTCATGGCATTTCACAGCAACTTTAAAAAATTGCCCAGAATGTACCAGGTCACTGTGTCTGTATTTTATATATGGTATCATTATTGTCTTCCTAATTTCTTGTGAGGTAATGCTCCTCTTACCCCTCGTTCTCATTTTACAGATGAGAAACTGAGGCTCAGCAAGGTTAAGTTACTTGATCTGAGGTGAAGAGCAGTAAATACTATTATCACACTGCCTGGAACCCTAACACACTCTACCATTTTTCTTTTGGTACCATAAATTGAACCGGTGGCTAAGAGAATGAACTCTGGAGCCAGACTGAGTTTGAATCTTAGGTCTTCCACTTACAAGTTGTGTGGTCTTGTTCAAGTTACTTAACCTCAGTCTCTACTTACAAAATGGGTTAATAATAGTACTTAGCTAATAGCATAATAGTATCTGCCTAATAGTGTTTTGAGGCTTTAATGAGTTAAAATAGGTAAGATACTTAGAATAGTGCCTGGCACTGTGGATGGCACACTGGGTAGACTGGATGGGAATCATATAACCCCAGTAGTCCTGTATTCTTTATGAATAGTGGCCCTGCCTATGTAGGGCTTGATGAAAAAAATTCAATACATTTACTTTATATAATCATAAAAAATATCATCATGAGTCAGACTTAATACCAAAAGCAAATAATCATTTTTTCAGGTAATACAAGAAAAATGAACAAAATCAACTATAAGAACATCCAACACTGGGTGATAATAAAATTGATAGTGATAAAGAAGACCCTAATTACTAGGTTAAATAGAGTATATGCATACAAAAGAACCTGTCAATTTAAAGTAATGAGGCAGTATTATATGGGAATATTATATGGAAAGTCTGTATTGTATGGAAACTCTATTAGATGGAAAGATCTCCAGGATTTGTTAAGTGAAAAAAGCAAGTTGCTAATAACAGTACATAGTATGTTACCTTTAGCAGGAGAAAATAGGAGGAAATAAGAGTATATATTTACATTTGTGTAAAGAAACTGAATGATACATGATAAACTAATAAGTGGTTTCCTTTAAAAAATTTCTTATTTATTGATTTTAGAGAGAGATGGAAACATCGATTTGTTCCACTTATTTATGCATTCATTGATTGACTTTTGTATGTGCCCTGACCAGGGATTGAACCTGCAACCTTGGCGCATTGGATTGATGCTCCAACCAACTGAGCTACCCAGCCAGGGCATAAAGTGATTTCTTACTGTGGTGAGGGGACTACCATGGTTAGGGACAGTGTGGGAAGGGAGACCTCTCAAAGTACACCTTTTTATTTTGGAACCCTTTGACCTGTTAAAAAGAGCAATCATGCACATTTACATTAGTGGCGAAAATGGTGAACATTAAGTTGAATAGAACAACTTGTGCACACAAAATGAAGGTATTCACTGGTGAATTGCAACTAAGTATGTGATGAGTAACTAATGATTGTAGTGGTAGCTGGGGGAAATGCTGTGTGGTGCAGCTACAGATACCTTGAACCCAAATGGTAATGATAGTGATTAAATCTGGGAATGTTACTGAGGAGCCTTACAAAGAGTGTTCAAATACAATTTCAACTGTTGTACATTTTTTTTTATTTTTGTGTTTGTTTTATTTCTGTTGTACATTTTTGAATGGCTAATAAAAAGGAGGGTGTGCTTTATCACTTAAAAGATTTACACTGATCTGCCCTGGCTGGTATGGGTCAGTGCTTGAGCACTGGCCCGTTAACCAGAGGGTTGCTGGTTCAAGTCCCAGTCAGGGCACATGCTTGGGTTGTGGGCCAGGTCCCCTGTAGTGGGTGTGCGAGAGGCAACCACACATTGATGTTTCTCTCTTTTTCTCCCTCCCTTCCCCTTTGTCTAAAAATAAAATCTTAAAAAAAAAAAGATTTACACTGATCGGTGATTGGTGGTATACAATATAACCCATTGTAGTAGCAGACTGTAAATGTAAGCTACACAAGGAGGAAAGGGGGTGGATGATGAATAAGGAACACAATGGAGGCCTCAGTGTTTTGGAAGTTTCTAGAAGGTTAAACAAATGAGGGGTGCCTGAGACTGCTTTCTGAAGTACAAGGAATTAGAGATGATGGTAATAGAAGTCACATAGCAGTGGGTGGGCTGCATGGAGTAGGGGGTCCCTGCAGGTGAAGATGTTGAGGAAGTGGGAAACCAGAGTGTTGGAAGGGCTGAGAGATCACCAAAGTTATCCAGGTTGATGGTGGTAGGAGTTGGGCTGAAATTAAACCTCTGAGCCAGGAGCTTCCATAAATGAAGAAAAGTGACTCATAGGTGACAGGCATAGAAGCGATCTTAGGAAGAGCAGAATTTTCCTCCGTTTATTTTTCTTTTTTGCTTTCATTTTTTAAAATTATGCTTTATTGTTTATGGTATTACAATTGTCCCAGTTTTTTAGCCTTTACCGCTCTACCCAGTTCTCCCACTCCCTCAGGCAATCCCCACACTGTTGACCATGTCCATGGGTTATACAAGTTCTTTGGCTTCTCTTGTTTCCTATGCTGTACTTTACATCCCATGACAATTCTGTAACTATCTATTTGTACTTCTTGATCCCTTCACCTTCTTTGCCCGTCCCCCGAT